TTCAGGAGCATTCAAAACCCTCTTTCTCAGGAAAAAGAAACTGTGCGAGACCATCTGCCACAAGCCAACATTTAGTAACTTCACTACTATCGGGCAGTTGTAATTGGCACTGCCAGCATTACTATAAAAGCTTGTGGGTTTTCTCCATTCTGTAGAGAGTTTCTATATCTACCAAAATCATTTGGGCTGAAACTTACCTGAATGCACGTCATCTCTCTTTTCACTTTCCCCATATGGCATTCAGTCGCTCGGATTTTCTTATCTGCTAGATCCAGTTCCCATACTCGAAGGGTTCCACTATAAGAAAGAATAGAGTGGGACCAAATCCATATATGCAGAAACATCCAACTTCTTTCACTAGTAGGGGAATTAAAAAGCCTTTACAAGGCTACGTTATTCTGAAATTTTAATAAGGAGGAAAAAGAACAGTATCAGAGAGGCCAGAAGTCAGGCTCTGTCTTTCCTGCTGTCTCTTGTGGTAACTTCTTCCAGGTAAGTTGAAAATCTCTAAGGTTCAGCAAAAACATATACGAGGATTACAGAGGAGTATCTAACAACCTTGACACTTCATTTCCCAAAGAGACATGCTCTGTGGAAATCTGGCTTCCTAGAATAGGAAATGAACGGTACGGGACACTTTCAACTGTTTTCTAGCAGAATTTAATTGACATCATAGGAGCCAATACAAAAATCTTTACACACAGTCACCCTTATATTTAACAACATGTTAAAACTGCCAAGATCAGCACTCCTAAGTGCAACTGCAGCCGAGAGCATCCAAAGCCTTCCCTGATTTAAAGGAAAGTGCAGGTCCTCAACATGTTTAAATGTCAGGCTAGACAAACGGGGGCTGTCTCAAATCCATGAAATGTGACTTTGTGTACAAACTTTTGTTACAAGCCAGTGACCAACTGTGCGTCACAACTGGGGAGGACAGGAGATGATCCAACGACCTGCAAGATATCATTGTTTCTACCTTAATTAACTATTGTTCAGAGCCACTCATCGACTGCTTTTCTTGTGTAAACACTGGCAACTAAATATTTTAAACACTGCATGGGGAATGTTGAGTACAAAATCCTGCTATCAGGAACAGAAGTGACGCGTGAGGGTCCCTGTGTGCTGCTTTGAAAACATATTGTTATGTGTAGAACAAGCAGAAATGCCTTAAAGGGACATGCTGACGGATATTCCTCAGTCCATTCCCACCAAAAAGAAAAAACACGAGCACACAGTTACTTTACTTAAGTTTCCTTGTATTTAAATAAAGGCTCTTTGTAAAAGAAAGTAAGTCCACGGGTTCTTTCCCTCGTTTCTGTCATCGAAATAAAACCTTACTTTCCAGCAGTGACAAACATTTCATCTCTGCAGCTCGAGCACACCACGACGGTTGCATTCCCCGCGCGGCGTGGCGAGGCAGGGCTCCCGCAGACACCCTCTCTCTTCGCAACGTCCCACACAACCACGCTGCAGGAGAAGGAGGGGCTTTAGATAGCTTTGGTTTTAGACATTACCTACAAACAAATTATTAACAAACAAAAGCAAGATAAAACCTATTTCCCTGCAGTCTGTTCCCACCAGCATACACAATAAAAGTAATTCTGGGGAGATTTTACCCAAGAAAAACCTGATCATAAATGTGGGGAACTGCAGCTTACGTCCCCTGCTCCTGAAGCAAGGGTATGTGTATTCACCAGATTCCTTCTGCTGAGCAAGACTCAAATCATATCTTAGGCCGCTCCTAGAATATGATTTAAAATCACTTCTTTTTCCACTCTTACTTGTCTGTGTCAAAGCAAGCCCTCAATGAAATGTGTACTTCTTCAGGGCAAGGCACTAAGCCAGCTAACCATGCAGGCTCCCTAAGGTTTCTGGGCAATGACACCAGCTGAAGAATAAGCTTCTCCCCTCGTCTTCTCCCTCAGCTGGTTCCCCGTGCCCTGCGCTCTGCCCACGCTGCCCACTCAACTGCCCATGGGACAGAGCTGGCTCACTGAGGAGAGACATCAACAGGGGAGAGAGTCAGACTGCCAGGAGAGGGAGGAGCGAGTACTCCCTCAGGGCATTCTTCCATCTCCTACAACTTGTTGGAAAGCTTGTGCCAAGAAGCAAAAACCCGTACCTGCCGTCGTCCTGGCCTCCTAGCGACACGAGGTAACGGCTGTTGGGAGAAAACGCCAGGTCTTTGATACTCCCCTTATGCAGCGACAGCCGAGCAAGTAACTGCTTCTTCTCGAAGTCCCACAGAATGATGTCCGCCTGAGGTACAAAGCAGAAGGCGTCAAAGCCAGAGCATCAGACACAACACGCAGGATTAGATATAACAACTTTCTCTGGCAGGAAAGTTGTTAGAAGCAGCCCAGCTTAAGGTTAGCTTCCATCCGGCCCAGGGCTCCGCTGACATGAACGCGCTTCAGATTAGGTGCTGTAACAAGCATTATTCCAGCTTACCGGCTGAGCAGCTCTACTTCATTTCAGAATCAAAATTTACCCTGAGACACTGGGTATTTGACTTAGATTCTAAAATAGTGAAAACGCTAATACTTGATTCCTTCCAGGAGTCTCAGGGTCTTTTCAAATAGGCAAAAATGAAGCCATAAAGAACTTCAGAGGTCTAAAAATGCAGGTGGGTAACTGTCAAGGGCTTTTGAAAGTCCTAAGCAGCTCTGGAACTCAGGTCTCACTTTAAATATAACATCATTTATTAATTTATGTCTAATGAGATTTAGGCTGCCACACACTCACACCACTTTGGATAAAAAGGACCGGAACTAAGAAATCCCTCAATCTAGTTAACTCAATCCTAGGGAGACTGCTTAATACTTTACAAAAACACAAAGGCACATCCAGCCACGGAGTAGCCAATATTACCTATTCTCTGCAATGTCCTCCCACTGTACGCATTTGTTTTCCAACAAAAGAAAAAAATAAACAAAAGGTGTGCACACCGCTGGCTACCAAGCTCCAATTTCAATATTACACTGTTAAAATTAGAGCATTATCCACCTTGAAACCCATGAAAGTGACTTGTCCGGACGCAACATACACCCCGTCCCTGGAGACCACGACACAGGAGATGTTATCGGTGTGGCCACGCAAAAACTTCTGTTTCTTACTCTCCAGCTCTTGAATGACCACAGTACAGCCCAGGGGATAGAGAACGTGCTCCTTATCGGGGTGGCAGATGAGGCCGCAGAGTACATGTCCTGCAAGAGAAAGGAGGGAAAGATCTGCTGGCTGTTAATGGTTCTGGGGACTGCAGGCAAACTCCCTTCCTCCGCCTGAAGGCCCCAAGAGCAGGCTGACCTCTCCCCAACACCTCCAACCTTATTGCACTCTCAGAGGGGAAATCACTTCTTCCCCAAGCTTTATCTCACAAGGAGGGCAAACCCGAGAGCTTTCCAGCTCTTCCCAAAGCCGTTCAGCAGAACAACCCCGTGTAAAACTCAAGGATCACCTTGACACGTCCTGGACCACACTGTGCTTCTGACAGCTACCAGGAGATTGAACTGGCCCAGAGCTCCGAGCCCTTCAGCACAGAGGGTTCTCCAGGAGCACCTGCTGACTATGGAGCCACATCACCAGCCCATGTTGCCATGACCTGCCTCAAAAGAGCTGCTTAGCAAAAGCTAAGCACCAGTATAGGTTAGGGGTGGACCTGCTGTGAAGTAGTTCAGAGGAGAAGGATCTGGGGGTCCTGGTAGACAGTAAATTATCCACGAGCCAGCCATGTGCCCTTGTTGCCAAAAAGGCCAATGGAATCCTGGGCTGCATAGGGAAGAGTGTGGACAGGAGGTGGAGGGAGGTCATTCTCCCCCTCTACTCAGCACTGGTGAGGCCACAACTGGAATACTGTGTCCAGTTTTGGGCTCCCCAGTTCAAGAGGGACAGGGAACCGAGTCCAGTGAAGGGCAACCAAGATGACTGAGGGACTGAAGCATCTCCCTTATGAGGAAAGGCTGAGAGCGCTGGGACTCTTTAGCCTGGAGAAGAGAAGGCTGAGGGGAGACCTTATTATGGCATACAAGTATCTAAAGGGTGGGTTGAAGGAGGATGGAGCCA